ACTTCAATTTCTAAAATATCACATGAAGTGATTCGAGAATATCTAATGATGGGTTTCTAGATGACAAGATTTTTTTTCAAACAAAGTAGAAATAGAGCATGCATTTGTTCCATTTTTGACAGATTAAAAAAAATGTTGGTCACTCAATGCACGACTGTGTGTGGGGACGCTGCTGTGCGCAATTGGCTGCCGCGTTTCGCCCACAAAATACACAGTCAATTCACTTTACAGTCTATTCTGTAACAAACTTCGAAACGTCTTGAAGACATGATAAGGGGTTATATCAAATACAAAGTTTAATATTATTATTATTGACGGAGTAATGTGCAACCTTTGTTTTCGTTGATGATTTTCTCCACAAGGTCTCGGGATTTTTTGACTCCTGTGACTGCCTCTGGAGTGAGCTGAAAGACAAGAATCCATTCTGCATTCAGGTGCCAAACCATTTTTAATTGAAGCGATTGGTTTTAATATCAAATGTCAAGCAATCCTACTTAACAGAGAACACTGTACCTGGATCTTGTACAGCCCTTTACCAAGCTTGACCAGGTTTTCTGTGGTTAAGGTCTTTCCATCCAACTCAATGTACTGAGGAGAACAACAATCACTCACAAGAGATCATGAGTTACAGATTAGAAACTACATTTCAGCCCATCTGATCGCATCCTTCCAGAATACCCACCTCATCATACAGCACAGAAGGAGGCCATTCAGCCCCTCGTGCCTGTGCTGGCTCTTTGAAAGGGCTACCAACTAGTCCCACTCCCCCACTATTGCCCCAACTAGTCCCACTCCCCCACTATTGCCCCAACTCGTCCCACTCCCATATTCTTACCCCATAGCCCCACACATTTTTCCATTTTTAAGTACCTATCCAATTCCCTTTGAAAGCATACATAAAAAACCTTCTCGGTGTTTAACCTAGACTTGCCCTTCACAGCCCTTAACCTCTGCCCTTACTCTGCCTTTACTAAAATTTGCCAGACAGCGCTCTCAATGGCTAAGCTGTCTGGGTTTAATTGGTCAGACTCCAGCAGTTACCCCAACGCACACTCTGGACTCCCCCCAAGCCTTGGTTCTTGCCAACCTGCACCTAATACTCTCCTGAATTAGGTAAACAGATGTGTCCCTCCAGAGGGGGAGAGAGAGCGCACTCCATCCCAACAATCTCTCTCTGGGGTTTCCAGGTGTAGTTGGGATGTGGGGAATTCTCAGTTTGGTTTGGAGACTCTTAAGCAACGGTGACGGGTTTCCGCATGTGTCAGACACCCGGCTGAGCAAAACAAAATGACTCTAATAATGCAATTTCACATCTTATCTCTGATGCTTTAAGCAGAATGTTTCTCCCAAGATCTGTCTTCATCAAAACCATCTGCTCAGATCCATCCAAACAAAGCATTACTGATTTTAAATCAACGTTAAATTAAATTTAGAGTGGTACAATAATTCTGTCTTCTCTTACCTCCTGGGGCTCCCGATATTTTCTGTAATATTTATTAAGAATTTGTAACATGATGTGATAGATTTGTAGCACCAGCCTCCTTAGCTGTTTATTAACTCTGGAGACCTGTAGCTCAGTGGTTAGAGCACCCGAAAGAAGAGTAACCACAAGTTGGACAAAGAGCACTCTTTCATAATAATCAATCTCAAATATTACAATGATACACCTATACAATACATGACACTGCATTCGACCAGTACGTAGCATTGATTACATGGCAAAATAAACACAAGACAAAGGATACAGAAATGCTCTTTGTGTGCTCAAAGAGTTGAACTCTGTGGCTCTGGAATCATCTCCTGTGATAACTATATAACAGAACAACCAGAAGACTTTAGACATCAATCAGGTCCAATCATTGATGTAAACACACATCACATAGTAACACTCAAATACTTGGGGAGGGCTGTGTTGTCACAAGTGCCGTCCATCAAAGAAAACGTTAAATCAGGGTTCTGTCAGTCCATTCAGGTCATAAGGTAAATATGACCCTGAATGGGCTTTGTTTGTTGGAGTCCTGTAGCTCAGGGGGTAGAGCACTCGCCTCGCTAGCGAGAGGACCCAGGTTCGATTCCCGAGCAGGGCGAAACCTTGGGCAAGTTTCCTTACTCTACACGTCTGATAATAATCCCTCAAGAAGAAAAAAGCAATTATAATTTGGTCACTTCAACCCACGACTGTTTGTGGGACGCTGCTGTGCGCAATTGGCTGCTGCGTTTCACCCAGAAAATACACAGTCACTACACTTTAGTGTATCCTGTGAAGTGCTTTGAGATGTCTCGATGACGTGCTCAGGCGCTGTATCGAATGCCAGGATTATTATTATTGTTGTTTATTAGATTGCAATGATCTGCACAGAAGGGGCCATCGTGTTGGTACACATCAGCACAGACTCCGTCTCCTATTGTCTATCTGCCCCGGGAGGTTGACTGAGCTCTTCATTGATCTTCAGCAGGTTCATGGCAAGTGTATCTGCCGTCAGTGTTTTGTGTGAAGCGCTTTGAGACGTATTATGAGAACAGTAAATGACATCATTGGCCATTTGTGAATGAAGAGGAAACCTACCAACTTCCACAAAATCATTGTCTTCCAGAACGTCCTCAATGGCATCATCGGGATCTAACAATCCCTGTCCCTGACAGCGTCTCATCAGGAACGTCACGTCAGCCACACAGTCCAACCCGCCATTGTCTGGCTTGTTCTTCACGTAGCGTCTCAAGGCCTCTCGGCCCAACCACAACACGGTGCTACACGTGTCCTTGCAGGGCACCGTCAGCCACTCGCTCCTCACGTGCACGGTGTAGCGAGGCATGGCCGCTGGGAGCTGTGGTGCTGTGTGTGATACTGCCAACATCTGGTCAGTAATCCTCCTCCAAATTGCAATTTATAATGTGTTGCTTGTTAATGAATATAACTTTGTTAACAAATTACAGATTTCAGTATAAAATCCAATTCCTTGTGAGCTCGTAAGTCATTCGAAGAATCAGAGGGGATATGTTGCTGGCTGTTTTGGTGTCATATTCATGATTTAGTGCTCAGAATTTTGCTTCTGCAAACATACATGATCAAAATGATAATAATAATCCTTGAATTTGATAGAGCACCTTATCATGTCTTCTCAACGTCTCAAAGCGCTTCACAGAATAACTGTAAAGTGAATTGATAGCGTATTTGTGGGCGAAACCCGGCAGCCAATTGCACACAGCAGCGTCCCACACACAGCCGTGGATTGAAAATGACCAATTTAATATTGGTCAATTTATTATAATTAGATCCTTGGCTGATCTGTACCTCAATTAATCCTTTCAATTCTAATTTCCCGCTTTCTCCACATTATCCCTTAATACCCTGACCAACCAACAATCCATCAACCTCAGTCTTGAAGGTGCGGATGGATCCAGTACAAAGTCTGGCCCTGAGGTGAGTGGGTTTTTCTAACTCTACACTTTCTGCTGATCAGAATTGTTGAGAAAACTCACTGCTCATAGTCCAAACCGTCAATCTAAGGACAAATAACTCACAGAAGTCAAATTGGTGATGCGGATAATCCAAAATAAAACATCAGGTATCAAAGTCAGAAAATCAACTAATGCAATGGATTGCATTGACCCCTGAACTGCCCTTTCTCCCCCACATCTGCACCGTGACCGGTACTGCCTACCACCATCTCCACAACATGGCCAGACTCCGCCACTGCCTCACCCCTCCGGCTGCCGAAACCCTCACCCACACATTCGTCACCTCCCTCCTCATCGCCCTTAACAACTCTTCCCTTCACAACAATATTACACGTGTACAGCGCCTTTCACGTCGGGAAGACGTCCCAAGGCGCTGGACAGTGTACAGCATTTCAGACCTGAGCTGGGGGTGAGGGAGGGGGCATGGTCAGAGGAGGGTCTTGAGGCAGGACTTGAAGGAGGATAAGGAGGAGGCGAGGCAGATCGCGTACTCTCATGCACCAGGCTCCGTGACCCCATCACTCCCACCCTCGCCCGACTCCACTGGCTCCCCATCCCCCAGAGGATCGAGTTCAAGATCCTCGTCCTCACCTTTAAGGCCATCCATGGCGTTGCTCCCTCCTACTTCTCTGACCTGCTGACTCCCTACCAACCTGTCCCCTCCCTCCGTTCATCGGGCTCCGGCTGCTCCATGTCGCCCGCCCGACCCGCCCTACCATCGGTGGCCGGGCTTTCAGCCTCTCTGCCCCCACACTCTGGAACTCCATCCCACGGTCCCTTCGCCTCGCTTCCTCCCTCACCTCCTTCAAGGCCGGTCTCGAGACCCTTCTCTTCGACCGTGTCTTTGGTCTCCCTCCCACCTCTCTGCCTTCCCTCCCCTCTACCCTTCCCCCTGCTCGGGTCCTGACCCAACTGTCCAGCGCCTCGGGACGCCCTCCCAACATGAAAGGCGCTCTATAAACGTCATTTTGTTGTTGTTGGATTATGCTCGTCATCGCAGTGACAGGTTTCTGGGGATTAAAGAGTATAGTTTGCAGTTCAGGCCAGGAGTGGAGTCCTGTAGCAGTGGTTAGAGCGCTCGCCTCGCAAGAGACCTGGGTTCGATTCCTGGACAGGGCGAAATCTTAGCCACGTTTCCTTACTCCGCACACCTCTGCTTACCAGCAGTAAATAGGAACCCACTTGTCAGTCGATTGACGGATCGCTTTTCGGGGTAATAATCGCTCCAAAAAGAAAAAAAAATTTGGTCACTCAATCCACGACTGTTTGTGGGACGCTGCTGTGCGCAATTGGCTGCTGCTTTTCACCCACAAAATATAGTCAATTCACTTTATATATTCTGTGAAGCGCTTTGGGACATCTCAATTACACGATAAGGCGCTATGTCAAATGCAAGGATTATTACTAATGTAATAGAGGCACTCAGGTGCCGGCTGGTTTATTGTTTAACACTACCTGAAACTCAGTTTGGCTTAGATGGCTTAAGCACAGAGATGGCTTTCCAGGTGTCAGACTGACCAAAAGAAAAACAGCCAGAACAATTTGCAGAAAACTTAAATCATTTTATTATCCAATGATACACGTGTTAGTAATGCTCTCAAATCACTGGTAAAGATTTATTTTTAATTACTAACCAAACACCTGAAGTTTTCCCATATATTTCACACAATCATAAAGTTTAGTCAACAGTGAGAAAGTCTGGAATTCCAAAGTCTCTCTCTCCACACAATTACCATCAGCAAATCACAGAAAACCACAGATATTCCATTTTTAGTTGAAAATTAACATTTGTAGTTCAAAATTAAAATGAATAAATCGCTGAGTGAAAGGGAGCAACGGGGTGGGGTGGGGGGTGTTTGTTTGTGTACATTTACTGAACATTTAGCACTCTCTTCAACTTGTAATTCTTACAAATCCATACGCCTTCAGAAACCTTTGCAAACAGTTTTGCTTTGCACGTTCCAGTCTAGTATGTTTTTAAAGCAGTTTTTAATCCCTTAAATGCGCCTTCCCCCCCTCCCCCCATTATATAATAGAAGTCGCATTCACTGTAGCCCTGGGGGTCCAACCTTGTGGCTGCTGAGGGCTGTTTGCCCTATTTGGGAAATGTTTGTGAGACGCATTTTGTTTCCCTTCCAGAAACATCCAACATTTACAGGTTAAGGAGGGAGCAGGTGGGACGGATAAAATGGAGGGAGGAGGGGCCGGATGCAGCCCACGGCCACCAGCTGGATCACCCTGCTGTAGATCATGATGGTTAGGCTGAGCAACCAGCGCTTTGAGGAGTCTCAATTACATGATAAGGCGCTATGTCAAATGCAAGGATTATTACTAATGTAATAGAGGCACTCGGGTGTTGGTTTATTGTTACCTGAAACTCAGTTTGGTTTAGATGGCTTAAGCACAGAGATGGCTTTCCATGGGACAGACAGCCGATTGACCAAAAGAAAAACAGCCAGAACAATTTGCAGAAAACTCAATCATTTTATTATTTTAGATTTTTATTATTTTACTGATACACGTGTTAATAATGCGCTCAAATCACTGGTAAAGATTTATTTTTAGTTAAATCTCCTAAACCAAATACTGGTTTATTTGTTAAACCAGTAACAATTATAGAAAAACTGATTTCATCCCTGTAATGCAGAATTTCAATGAACACATTAAAAAAAATCTTATGTCAATTGTATTTCACTTTAAATTTGTCAAGAGCAAGTTTTGGGCTGAGATTATTGTTCAGAAGATGCTCTTATACTGGACTACTTAATTTCCAGATCAGCCCATCTTTACGTGACTGAGCAGTCCTATTATTAATAGAAGGTTGAGAGGTGATATGATTACCGTCTTTAAGATTCTGAAGGCATTGACTATAGACCATGATAAGCTGTTTTATCTTGTATTGAACAGTAGAACCAGAGGACATTGAAGGGGCTAAATTCAGAAATACTACTTCAGAGTTGTAAATGTATTGAACAGGCTCCCGAGGGAGACAGACGGTGGGAGCAGAAAATGTTGTTTGTTTCAAGAACAAATTAGATTTCTGCTAGAAAATAATCTCTGGGGATACAGTGTATAGTTTAGGACACAACATGTCAAGTGACAGCCAGGATGGTGAGAGGCGAACTGGATGGACATTGATCTTCTTTTGCCAGAAAATTCTTATGTTCTATTGTTGATCCATGTGAAGGTCTTTGGCGATGATACTGGCTGTGATCGGGTGCATGTTGGGTTTATTCTTCACAAACGTGTTCTTGGTTTGCTGACGCGCTGTTTCAAAGTTGTACAGATCCCTGCAACCAATATTGCTTTTTAAACAAACCTGAATACACAAGTGCTAAACTTCAGCAAATCTAAACACACAGAATATTACCTCAGGGCCTCTTAGTATTTTGGGGTCTGCCGGGTGTCGGACCTCCAGCCTTGTCCCTTCCTACCTCTGTGACAGGCTACTACCTTATCAACCTGTCCGCTCCCTCCGCTTTGCTGGCTCCGGCCTGCTCCACGTCCCCTGCCCCATCGGGGGTTAGGCCTTCAGCTTCTCTGCCCCCACCCTCTGGAACTCCATCCCACGGCCTCGCCCCCTCAATTGCTTCCATCAAGGCCCATCTCAAGATGCTCCTCTTCAAATGTGCCTTCGACCACCCTTGTCCCATCCTCCCTGCGCTTCACCCCTTCAGATGTCAACCCCCAGCTCGGGTCCAAATCCCCGACGTCCTCCTGATGTGAAAGGCACTGAGTAAATGTCCTGTGTTGTTGTTGGCAGTTTCTGTGATGTTGCCCAATAGACTTTCAAAACACAATGCCACATTCTAATAGCTAAAAAGGTGAAACTATTAGTGAATGATACCTGTAAAGAGGTCGAGTGAACTTCATTCTGCCTTGTTCTGTCACCATCTGTAACGCCAGAGGAATGGCCTCCTCCCACTTGGCTCGCAGACACAATCGGAGCCATCTTGTGTGGATCAATAACAAAATCAACAACAACAACAACAACAACAAGATTCCATTTATAAAGCGGAATCATAAATCATAAATCATAAAGTCTACACAATACTGCTAAGCAAATCTAACGTTAATCACTCAACCCAAAAGAGTACAAAGTCACATTTCTGAGTGCTAAAAGCAGTTTTAAGAATGCGATTGCCAAATCTCTGGTTTAAATCTAAACCAGATTCAAAGGGAATTAAATCCTCTTCTTTCTAACGATCCACAGCCAAATCCAATCTCGTTCTTACGCAATGTCCACACGTCTACTTTCCCCATCAGGCGATGATTATGAACAAAAACTGAACATTTCCCTCTTTTATCCGGTTTCCTTTAGCCTTTCTGCCCCCACCCTTTGGAACTCCAACTCACAGTCCATTCACCTCATCCCTTCCCTTGTCTCCTTCAAGGCCCAACTCAAGACCTTCCTCTTCAACCCTACCTACCCCTACCCTTGCTGTCCTCCACCCCTCCTGATCCCAACCCCCAGCTCGGGTCGAAATCCCTGACTGGCCTGCGCCTTGGGACGTCCTCCTGACGTGAAAGGCTCTGTGTAAATGTCATGTGTTGTTTATTATTCTGTACCTGAAACGGATCTCCGCATTTTTTGTGCTGTTGAATTTGTAAACCTCCTGCATTTGTTTCACGTGTTGGAGGGACAGCACGGGCTAAAGGCAATACAAACACAGCAGTTAGCATGACAATCAATGCAACGTACACAAGATTAGATTATTGTGAGTATAATAATTCACTCCAAAAACTGAATAATGTCTTGCACTGGAAATGACCAGATGAAATTCTATTTAAGATGATCAATCTCAACAACAACAACAAAATCAATCTCAACTGTCTGTCTGTACCGCTCTCAAACATTAGCTGTGAAACACAATATTCTACAGATAAACAAAAGGAAATGCTTGTGATAATAATCCTTACATTTGATATAGTGCCTTTTCACACTGTTGAGATGTATCAAAGCACTTCACAGAATATACTATAAAGTGTAGTGACTGTGTATTTTGTGGGTGAAACGAGGCAGCCAATTGCACACAGTAGGTAGTGTCCCACAAACAGTCGTGGATTGAGTGACCACATATTTTTTTTTAAGTAATTAAATGGTGGAAGGAGGAAAGGATGAACGGTCAGGGATCTAAAAGAGAATTTAGGTGGAACTACTTCACACAGAGGGCAGTGAGATGGTGCAACTCGCTGCTTGAAATGATGGTTGAATCAGGCAATGTAGAAACGTTGAAGAGGAAGCTAGACCTTCACATGAGGGAGAGGGGCAGAGAAGGGAGTAAGGAATGGGTGAAGACTTGAGTGAACACCAGCACAGTGGTTGGGCCGAATGGCCTGTTTCCATGCTGCACATTCCTTATAACCTTTATAATCCTGCCCACAGCCAGAGGTGCCTCATATTCATTGGACTCACAGCACAGCATTTAGTTTGGCTCCGCTGGTAGCACTCTCACCTCTGGTAAGAAAGGTGTGAGTTCAAGCTCCTCATCAAGACTTGACCTCAAGGCTAGGCTGTCACCGCCATGCAGTGTTGCAGTCAATGAGATGAGGCAATAAACTGAGGGTTTCATCTGCCAGGTGGACGGTAAAAGGTCCCAGGAGACTATTTGCAAAGTTTCTCCAGTGTCCTGGCCAACAAGCCTCTATAACTAATGATGATTACCTCATACAAGTTTATGGAACCTCGCTGGCCCCAATGACTGCCACGTTTGCCCAGACAAACAGTCATTACACTTGACGCTAATTAACTGTGAGCTGCTTCAATGAAATAAGGCACAATAAAAATAAGTTTTTTCCACTCTTTAGAAATTCCTCTTGCGACCAAATCTTTATTTACTCTTTGTATTTCAAAACTCTGCAGATTTTAAATGGCTACATTTTGAGTTGCTTTTGAAGGAACCGATATGATGGAAATTAAAGGTAATCTGCAATATTGGTGCAATTTTAAACCTAAACCCTTCAGGGCAGAAAGAAAATCTTTCGAGTTCTGAATGATGTTTTAGGATTTCAATGAACAGATCATCGGCCATTGAACAAACATCTGTACAAATGAATTCCTAATTCTGAACGTTTTCAATGCAAAAATTAGCCATTTCTAGAAGTGGGAAATGCGTGACTATAATTTGAAATGATAAAACTAAGAAAAAATATTTATTCGTAATAATAATCCTGGCATTTGATACAGCGCCTTATAATCTCATTTAGACGTCTCAAAGCGCTTCACAGGATATACTGTAAAGTGAGTTGACTGTTAATTTTGTGGATAATACGCAGCAGCCAATTGCGCACAGCAGCGTCCCATAAATGGTTGTAGATTGTCTTACCTCCTGTAGTAGAAGAGTAAGGAATTCAACCACCTGATTTGATGACAATGGTTTCAGATCTTCATTGGTAAAGATAGTCAACTCAGAGTCTGGCGCCTATAAAAAGAACAACACGTTCACACCAAGGTAATAGATACTGAAGTTAACATTCACTGTGCTAGATAGGCTTCTGGAAAAAGGAATCTGAAATACTTCACACAACTGCCTGTACCTCTTCACCTAAAGACCTAACAGTTGGGTCTCGACACGACTATTTTGACAAATACATTCAAAATACTTTCCTTTCTAATATTTGCAGTCATCCCTCCACAACACATTATACGGTGACTTAAGTTAAAACTATTTTTCGTTCTCCATTTGATACTTTGTTAAGTTAGTACTTTGTGTTTCTAGTTTTATTGAACAGGAAACACACGCAGTGTTGTCTCTACTGCAAATACGAAGCTGCCATTTGCTATTTGGATGACATAGACATTAGCTATGTGACAAACACCTGAGATTCCGTAAATTCATCCATGTTTCTCCTAGAGATCTCACAACAACGACATCTTGCATTTACACAATGCCCTTCACGTGGGGCAGAGTCTCAGAGCGCTTAACAGTGTCAGAGTCTGACCCCGAGCCAAGGGCAGGGAGGAGGTGACTGTAAACACGGTTGAAGAGGAAAGTCTTCAGTCATGATCTAAAAGAGGGGAAGGAGGGGGCAAGACGGAGGGCGTGGGGGAGAGAGTTCCAAAGCTTCACGGTGTAGTGGCTGAAAGACTAGGGACAAACAGGAGGCCAATGCCAGCCGATCAGAGAGAGGCATTCGGTAGTGGAGTGGGGAGAAAGTACAATCCTGGTCACAGAGAGAGAGAACATTTGTGACTTTGACGAGCGCTGTCTCTGTGCTGTGGGCAGTCAGGCAGAACTGAGATTGGAGGGGCTCGAGATGGGGGTGGAGGAAGAGGTTTGAGCCAAGTTGATTTGCAACGTGTTCCAGAATTAAACTATCTCCCACTAACTACTGCTCTGTTATTGCTGTGTTCTGAGAGCTGCTGGTTAGAAGTTGAAATAGACATGAAGTGAAAAAAAAACCCTTAAAACTTTAGAAGTGTCTGATCCTATATGGCTGACAGCTTTTCTTGTTAAAAAGAAAATATGGGAATTTGAAAAGAAATTGGAGCCAGGCCACTGAAAACAAACAGCAGAACCTTATTCCCTTTTATCGGAACAGGAGGAGGCCATTCAGCCCCTAAAGCCTGTTCTGCCATTCTATAAGATCATACTGATCTGTACCTCAACTCTAATTACCTTCCTCTGGCTGGACAATGTGAATGGATCCAGCTATAATCCACAGCCTTTTGGGGGTGGGAGAGCAATCCAGATTTCCACTCCCCTTTGTATGAAAAAATGCCTCCTGATTTCACTCCTAAATGGCCCGGCTCCAATGTTACAACTATGCCTCTTGTCCCGGATTCCCCTCCAGAGGAAACAATTTCTCTATAAACTTTTAGGACTTCTAAATAGCATTAGCACTGCAACATGTGGCATCACGAACCTGGCAACAAAACTGGAGACACACTGAGGCTTCCCTGCCTCACCGCCAGGTGGGGCTGCTGTCCCGCTGTGCGGAAACGTGGACAATTCTGTTCATAAGAATCGTGAGACCAAAGCCCAAAGCCATTGTAAAGTGAATTGACTTGGACATCCTCCTGACGTGAAAGGCGCTCTATAAATGTCATTTTGTTGTTGTTGACTGTGTATTTTGTGGGTGAAACGCGGCAGCCAATTGTGCAAGGCAGCGTCCCACGAATAGTCGTGGATTGAGTGACAAAATTATTATTTATTTACCTATTTATTTTTTTGAAACGATTATTATCCCCAGAAACGTGTTTCCTCCAATTGACTAACAACCGGGTTCCTACTGACTGCTGGTAAACAGAGGGGTGTGGGGTAAGGAAACTTCCCCAACATTTCGCCTGCCCGGGAATCAAACCCGGTCTAACCACTGAGCTACAGGATTCCACGTAATAATGAGATAGATCCCCGTAGTGAGGTGAGCAGCAGTGCAAATATATATAACAGTTACATTTAGATAACGATATCATGGATGATTTTTATATTTTTCCAACAATAGAGCTTAATAGTGTCAGAGCCTGACGCTGAGCTGGGCGGAGGAGGACTCAAGCACGGTGGAAGAGTAAAGTCATCAGTCATGATCCAAAAGAGGGGAAGGAAGGGGCAAGACGGAGGTGTAGTGACCTGAAGGTTTAGCACCAAAACGCAAATGACATTGAGCCTCAGGTCAGTTAGGTAACCAGAATGCTTTCACTCACTGTGTTCCATCGATTGGCGAGCCGGATACAAGCATCAGACAGAGAGGTGTCATAACTGCAAAACAAAGGTCATACAACACAACCTATATTTATAATAATAATCCTTGTATTTGATATAGCGCCTTATATCTTTGAGACATCTCAAAGCGTTTCACAGAATATACTGCAAAGTGAATTGACTGTATATTTTATGGGGTGAAACACTGGAGCCAATTGCGCACACCAGTGTCCCAAAAACAGTCGTGGATTGAGTAACCATCAGCCATTCGACTAACAACCGAGTTACACCTGAACAGGCAAACAGGACCTTGGTTTAACGTCTCATCCGAAAGACGGCATTTCCTACAATGCAACACCCCACCCCCACTGGAGTGTTTTGAGTGTTTCAGCAAATGAAGTTGAAAGTTATTTAATGAAGAGGATTCCAAATGTTTTTTTTTAACAACCTGCTTTGTAAATACAATATAGAATTTCTCTCCCATTATCTACATTTACAGAGTTAATACTCACTTGACTTGGAAAGGTGGTACACCAGGAGAATAAAGCCAGGCATGCCAATCAATCTGGTTCAAAATGTCAACCTAGGAAAACAAAACACACAGCACCATTTCATTAGCCAAATCTCGTTGCCAACCCAATTATTATTAAGACAAAGAGAAAGCATTAAATGCATGATATGTAATAATAATAATCCTTGCATTTGATACAGCGTCTTTTCACTTCGTAAAGTGAATTGACTGCATATTTTGTTGACTAACCATGGCAGATAATTGCACACAGCAGTATCCCACAAACAGTCATGGATTGAGTGACAGTATTATTACCTTCGGAAAAATGATCCACTAATCGACTAACAACCAGGTTCCTACTTACTGCTAGGTAAACAGAGGCGTGTGGAGTAAGGAAACTTGCGTAAGGTTTCGCCCTGCCTAAGCCCTCTTACTTGTGAGGCGAGTGCTCCAACCACTGAGCTACAGGACTCCACAAAATCTTGAAAACTAAATCTTAAAATCTACAATATTATATTGCTGCTGTATTGGAAATCAGCTTCAATCCATATACAAAAAAAACAACTTTTATATTACAGTGAAACAACCAAATTGCTGGAGGAAATGAGACAATGCTACAGAGAATGACATGCACAAGGTCAGAGAGAAGCAGAGTAAGAACGTCACATGTGAAGCGGAACAGTATCTCAAGAGAACACGGAGCCACATGACGTAAGCTTTCCTCATTTCTTTAACCTCCAGTAACACGTGAACTATGCTAAGCAGCATAGTTGCAAATGAGGAGAACTAGGCGTTAGTATTGAGGCAGACATGATAGAAGATGCTGGCGTGCAGCCCTGATGGTGTAGTGACTGTTTTTTTTGGATCAGTCCATTGTCTGAGAAAGAGGAACCCATCACCATGTTAGTATCCAAACCAGAGAGTTCCACATAGGTACGTTTGTAACCTACACATGGAAATGTCCCTGTATTTGGAACATAACACACACACTCTCCCCATCGGAGGGGTGCAGGCTGCTTACCTAATTCCGCAGAGAACATTAAGTGCAGGAGCCAAGGTCCTGTTTGGAGGGAGGTATAATCCAGCTAAATCCATCATGAAGTTTACAAAGCTTCATAATATTCTCAACATTTAATAATTTTTGTTAAACAACAACAGATTGTACTGCGGTTGAAACGTGGACATCTTTCATCGGGCAAACAGGACACACACGGAGAATCTCTCAACTTCATTTACCACTGAACAGCTTACCCACCTGATCATGAAAATAGGAATACAGGAATTGTTTCCAGTCCTTCGTTGTCACAGACTTGTAGGCAAACATCTGAATATAGGTCTTCAGGAAGCCCACGAAGATATCTGGCAACAAGGACAGATGTCAGTGAATCAGACAGGCTTTCCATTCAGCAAATCCTCAGTAATTAAGTCAGTCTTCGAAGATTAATATTAATAAAATTATAATCCTTGCATTTGATATAGTGCCTTATCACATCTTCAAGACAACTCCAAGCGCTTCACAGGAGATACTGTAAACTGTAGTGACTGTATATCTTGTGGGCGAAACACAGCAGCCGTGCACGGCAGTGTCCCACAAACAGTCGTGGATTGAGTGGCCAAATTATTGTTGTTTTTTTTTAAAAAGGGATTTTTATCTCCGGAATTAACTATATTAAATTCTAATGGACGTGGTATTTACCTGGCCCTCCGAGCTGCTCTTCCAAATGATAAAGTAAAGCGAATCCCTTTTCATATGGGACCGAGGAAAAGGCATCATCAGGATCGGTGTCTCGGAGATCAGGGACCAAATTGGTCAGGGGATTAGTAGGACCAAACGTGCGAATCTAAACACAAAGGAGTTTCATTTACCTCCCAAACTACATCTGTACAGATGCTCTGCTTTTTCAAATGAACAATAATAATCCTGGCATTTGATGCAGCGCCTCATCACTTTGTTGAGATGTCTCAAAGCGCTTCACAGGATATACTGTAAAATTAATGACTGTATTTTGTGGGTGAAACAACCTTGGAACCAGGAAAACAATGCGTCAACAACAACTTGCATTTACACAGCGCCCCTCATTACACAGGGCAGCGTCCCAGAGCGCTGGACAGTGGCGGAGCACAACACCGAGCCGGGGGTGGGGGTGGTAGGTGATCGTAGCCACGGTCGAAGAGCACGGTCTTCAGGCGCGACCTGAAGGTGGGGAAGGAGGGGAAAATGTGGAGGGAGGGAGAGAATTCCGGAGTTTGAGTGTAGTAGCTGAAAGTGAGAAAAAAGGGAAAAAAATAGAGGGTTCCATTTACCATCCAAGAGACGCTCTACTTTACTGAGTTTTACCAGGACAACAACAACAAAATGACATTTGTATAGCGCCTTTCACATCAGGAGGATGTCCCAAGGTGCTGAACAGTCAGTGTTTCGGACAAAGCATTTGTAAGATCTTAAGACCGTAACTTGTGTGCAACTATTGGGAAGGTCTGAACATGTTGAACTGTTGTGTGAACTCACCGACTCGAGCAGGGCCTTCCAGCCTCCTAACGCCGCAAACTGCCTGGTGTTCTCACCATGCATTCGGCGACAGATCATGCGTTCCAGATACACTGTGTGGCCTTCATTTAACCTGGTTGGTTATAAGTGAACAATCATCATCACTATTTCACACCATCCAACAGATTGTAAAAATCCCACTCAATTTGAAACAAAAATATTATTATTTCTTTGAAGGAATTATTACCCCCAGAAAAGTGATCTGCCAATCGACTAGCCTGGGAATCCAACCCAGGTCCTCTCGCTTGAGAGGCAAGTGCTCTAATCACTCAGCTACAGGACTCCAACAATACAAAATAACCTGAAAGTTGTTAAAGTGGTATGTGAATTGAGATCATGATGAGCTGGATAGATAGAAATAAACCAGTAACATATTTGTAGAATAAGTATGCAATTCATTGCTAAAGTCAGACGCACAAATGTCATGTGGACAAGGGTCTACGGTAAGTTAAATTAGCAGGAAATCTCTCTCACTGCCTCACCCCCCCTCCTTAGTCACAAGACTGATTGGATGATGGGAGTTCTCAATTGTAAGAAACACAAGATGTACAATCATCAGGAAGGTATAAATGCAAACAGGTGGCGGGTAATATGATCCAGTCTAGCTTGCCCCCATCAGGTCAAATACAGAGCAGCAGAGAGCAGCGCTAACTGGGCTGTGGAGAGGAACAGCAGCTCATGTGGTTTGTTTCCCGTTCCTCTGCATTACAAACAATTATAGCATTGGGTGGGGTTGGAGACGACGACGAGGAAAGAAGAACAAAAACCACCAAGAGAAGAGGTTTTTAAGAAGCTATTTTAAAGATTCAATCATACAATAAAATAAAAACAATGTAATATGTCGTGTGTAGCCCACCCATACACAGACACACACACACACACTACACTGATTCGTTTACTTGAGATCTCAGGCTTTGTTCTTACCAGAAGTCATCCCAGGTTTCGTTAGTGACCAGGTTTCCTGTCCAACTATGAGCAATTTCATGTGCAATTACCTAAAAACACAAAGGGATTATTTTTTCCCTTTTTTTGACCGTGCTTTAAATAACATTTATTGCATTAAAACTAAATGAGCTTGATTGACAAATCTGAGGTTTTTATTGGGTGCACGTCTGATTCACAGTCAGTCAACAACAACAGAAATTTACACAGCGACTTTCACGTGGGGAGTATGTCCCAAGGCACTGGATGGAGTTCGAAATGGTAGGGGCAGAGAGGCTGAAGGCCCAACTGCCGATAGTGGGGTAGGTCGGGAGGAAGACTTGTGGCAGGCTGGAGCCCGCTGAGTGGAGGGAGTGGACAGGTTGAAATGACATTAGCAGGTCCCAGAAGCAGGAAAAAGCAAAGCCGTGGATGGCTTTGAAGGCGAGGACGAGGATTTTGAACTTCGGAATCCATGGAAAACACCACTGAACCATTGCCGGACATGATACGAGACTGCAATGGAACAGAACAGGAACTGCCCACAGCAGTTCAAACAAAGCCTCTCAAACGTTTGATGTGAATTCAGACAATTAAGACTTGGCAGGTCACGTGCACATACATGCATACACTCGTGGGAGAGCCCAGGATCTCAAATATGGTTCCTCTTCCAACAAACAGCTCTCGAGGTTCCAGAAATGCAGACAGTACGACGAGAAGGTAGTTTACATAGATAAGTAAGCCCGCTATAAAATCTGTTTCCTATCAGGCCAAAAAGAACCATTAAATGAATGTTACCTACAGAATGCCTGGAGACATTCTAGAGTTTATTAGGCTAGGTTTGTTTTTTCTCTACTCGTGTTGTTGACACAGCCTCTATTCCAGGTTTCCGTGTAGGAATGCCTCTGGCTACAGCCAGGGAGAGAGACTGACTGCTCAATCCTGCCAGGAAAGATCATATATAATTCAACAGAATTTATAGCAAACATAGGAACAGAAGGAGGCCATTCAGCCCCTCAAGCCTGTTCTGCCATCCTAGAAGATCATGGCTGGTCTGAACCTCAACTTCAATTACCCGCCTTTGCCCCGTATCGCTTAATACCCTGACCTAACAAACATCTTTTAGAAAAGAACTTGTAATTTATTTTGAAGTACTTTACTTACATCAGAAAGACTTTTATCACCAGCCTAGAAAGAGAAAACACAAACGACACATTCTGTAAGTTTTCTCCCATCTCAACAACAATTTGAAATAGACACTTCATGACCCACTTTACATTCTGTTAAGCAATTGAGACATCTCAACGACGTGATAAGCACGGTATAGCAATTCGCTCTCTGAAATGTGCTGAGTTCACATTTTTAATCACACCTTAGGGAGAAATTATCCACACTGAAACAATGCAGTTTATTGATTAACAGTGTACTGGCATAAGTCTGATCTGTATGAACCACATAATCGGCCGAGTCCCGTTCAAGAGGTTATATTCTATGCAAATTTAACATAATAATCCTTGCATTTGATACAGCGCCTTATCACATTGAGACATTTCAAAGCGCTTCACAGGATACACTGTAAAGCTGTATATTTTGTGGGCAAAACGCGGCAACCCATTGCACACAGCAGCGTCCCACAAACAGTCGTGGATTGAGTGACCAAATTATTATTGTTTTTTTTTTAAGTTAATCAACTTAACAACCGGGTTCCTACTTACTGCTAGATAAACAGAGGCGTGTGGAGTAAGGAAACTTGCCTAAGGTTTCACCTTGCCCAGGAGTCGAACCCGGGTCCTCTCACTTGCGAGGTGAGGGCTGTAACCACTGAGCTACAGGACTCCACATCCGGAAAAACAATGTAATTTCATATCTCACCAGTAGAGTGGGTGTGACAAAGGTAAGGCAGGGGTTCTCCATTCCACCGTAGGGAAATGATGGAGGGAGGACGAGGAGATCATACTGTCCCCACACATATGGTCCCACGAGATCTTCGGCAGTCTTCAGCATGGTTTCCGTCTGTCATAGACAAATATGATTAATAATACTTTAATTTCCTCCTGATCTCAACATTTGCAAGTGTTCTGAGAATGATTGGTTATTTTGTCTCTTACCATGAATCGACTTTCAAATACTGCTCTTTATTAGATTATATTAATATGCAGCTACAGTAATAAAGAATCTGTCATATCTCCAATTAGGAAGCTTACTGTATATTATTAAACACTCTATTTTCCTCTGCATTTACACAGCGCCCTCACACAGGGCAGCGTCCCGGAGCGCTTTGACAGTGGTGGAGCACGATACCGACCAGGGGGAGGTGACCGTAGGCCCAGTTGAAAAGGAAGATCTTCAAACGCGACCTGAAGATTGGGAAGGAGGAGGCAGGGCGGAGGGAGGGATACAGAGAAAGAGTTCTAGAGTATCAAAGTGTAGTGGCTGAAAGCGCGGCCACCAAAAGTGGAACGGGGGGAACAAGGGACATGTAGGAGGCCGGAACCAGTCGAGCGGAGGCAGCAGGTAGTGGGTTTGGGAATAAACAGGTTGGAGAGGTCGAGAGGTGCCAGGGCATGAAGGGATTTGAAGACAAGTGTGAGGCAACTCCCGCCCAGGCTACATGGGTTTGTGCCGATGATGTCCTGAAACAGTTACTCGGGGCATCCCACGAACGTTCCCTCCAATTTTCCCATTGTGCTGTGCCAGAGGCTGCTTTCCTTTGTGACGCGGCAGAACCGAGAGTGGGAACTCAGTGACAAAATATAGTGGAAGCTGCCTTAGAACTCCGGTTAACATCAGACGCCGCTTAAACCAGACAAAATGGCTGGCCCCGATGTCTGGGTTAAACGGCTTTCACTGCATCTAAAATTCTGGTGTGTTTGTTCTTTAGGTCCACAGAGATGTCTTACAGGAAGTGTGCTATAACTTTTTAGGACTGGTTTGACTGTCTGCAGGAACTCTATCATTGAAAGTGACGCTTGTTGAACACAAACCTCGTCAAATTCAGTGGCAGCCGCATCCACCATCTCTCTCTCTGACCACACTCGGGTCCTCGGGCCAATCACTCTGCAAAATAAGTTCAGATTTACACAAAAACAACAAACTGACCACTGGACAAACAGAAAGCACATCATATTGGAGGCATCTTATCCCCATGACATTCGTTTAGCGCCTTTCAACAACAACATCTTGGATTTATATAGCGCCAGAGCAGGCCCGAGCCCGCTGAGTGTAGGGAGCGGACAGGTCGATATGGCGTTAGCAGGTCACAGAGGTAGGGAGGAGCAAGGCCATGGAGGGAAGGGCTTTTGAGAAGACAAAAGAAATACGAGGCCTGAAGGAGGGCAGTGATTGATTTTCTGAAATATCCATGTAAGATTAAGAGAATCCTCCATGTGCAGAGCAGAGGCATCGGTGTCCACATACAGTGGAAATCTCATGAGCTTCCTCATGGGGGAAGAGCAGAGGAAAAGACAGGTTCATAGTGAGATCAATGAAGCAGAATCTTAATAGTGGGGTCACTTTGATGTGGGTAATCAATTCAATTACACTTAAGATAACTGCCCAGACTTGCATCTCGACATGCATTCTTACCCATGTGGATCAGTTTTAAATTATTTTCTTTCTCCAATGCAAATTATGATTAAACACTTATTTTTATAGATTTTAAATTTCTCTGGTTTCTCGGTTCAATTATGATCTGGAGAAGGAACGCTGGATCAATTGGGGTTATAAATAGGGGCATAGAATTACAAAAGTCAAGAAGTTATGATAAACCTTTATAAAACACTGGTTAGGCCTCAGCGAGAGACTGTGCTCAGTTCTGGGCTCCACACTTTAGGAAGGATGTCAAGGCATTGGAGAGGGTGCAAAGGAGATTGACCAGAATGGTACCAGGAATGAGGGACTTCAGTGATCAGGAGAGGCAGAGAAGTGAGGATTATTCTCCTGGGAGCAGAGAAGGTTAAGAGGAAACTTAATAGAAGTTTTCAAAATTCTGAGGGGATTCGATCGGGTGAACAGGAGAAACTATTCCCACTGGCGGGTGGGTCGGTAACCCGAGGGCACCGATTTAAAATAGTTGTTAAAAGAAACAGAGGGGAGGGGAGGAGAAATGTTTTCACACAGTGAGTTGTTGGGATCTGGAATCATTGCCTGAAAGGCCGGGGGAAGCCAATTCGATAACAACTTTAAAGAGAGAAGCAGATAATTATTTGGGGAGGACAAGTTTGCAGGACTATGGGGAGAGAGCGGGGGAGTGGGGTTGATCAGGGCTATGGGGAGAGCCCGGGGGAGTGGGGTTGATCAGGGCTATGGGGAGAGTGCGGGGGAGTGGGGTTGATCAGGGCTATGGGGAGAGAGCGGGGGAGTGGGGTTGATCAGGGCTATGGGGAGAGCGCGGGGGAGTGGGGTTGATTTGGACACGGTGGGCTGAATGGCCTCCTTCTGTGCTGCATAATTCTATGAATCGAGGAAACAAGAGACAGAGAGAAATTGTCTACAGAAAACCAGTGTTTAATATTGAAATAAAACGCCAGTCCAGCTACATACCTGCTCTCTAAAGCTCCAACTACCAGCACGATTAAGTAGCTTGGTATTGGCACCTACAAAGAAGCAAGGAGTTATTTTCTGACAAAAATATTCACATACACTGAATCCCTGGCCAGCCAGACCAATAAGTGTGGGGGGGGGGGGGGAAATCTGGTCTGGAAAGCCGGAATTTCCGACTAAGTGTAATCATGTTACTGGTCCCATTTTGCCCACAAAATATACAGTCAGTTCACTTTAGTGTATCCTGTGAAGCGCTTTGCAATGTCTAGCGCCTTTCACGTCAGGAGGACGTCCCAAGGTGGTGGGCAATCAGTGTTTCGAACCCGAGCTGACGCAGTCGAAGAGGAGGGTCTTGAAGGAGGCAAGGGAGCTGAGGCGAAGGGAGGCGAAGGGATGACTTCATAAGGCGCCATATCAAACGCAAGGACTGTTGTTATTACCGGCATCAGTTACCGGCTTTTTTTGAGTGGACTGGCATTGTAATTGTAATCACCCGTGAATTTGTGAGTTATGATTATCATAAATATAATGATATAATTTAAGGCAATAATCATCAAGAATATAATGAAATAAGTGCTTATAGAAGCAACCAGTATTACAAGGAGAAATATCACATTTAGACAGACTACTGGGTTTGTTTTAAACCATGCTTCTGCCTGCAATGAACTTTTAATATAAACTGAAATACAGTTTACACCAAGCACTATGAGACATCCTCCCGACATGAAATGGATACAACTCTAAGGATGATTTATTAATATATAAATGTAAATTGTATTCAACTGAAATGTTAAGAGACCGAGTTATTTACCGTTTGTCTAAAGCAGTAAATCTTTCTACTCCCGTCAACTTTCTCTCCATCTCGATTAGCACTCATTAGAGCTACCAACTCGGCAGGCACAGAGATCTGGATATAAAAACAAATACAATTAAAAATGGCTACAATAACCTCTAACGGAGGATTATAAACAGAAGTACACTAAAGCAAACAGTTCTTTTTATTTTTATGTATCCCAACTTTTTTTAAAAAATGTTCTTCCCGCTGGTATTACCCCACTCTCTATCTATGCCCCTGGTCTGGGCCCACTTTGGTTGGGGCACTAACCAGTCACTGGGGGCAGGGAATCCTCCCCCTCAGCTCCTGTTAACCCTGCAGCCAAACCCTAACTGACGGGTAGGGTAGTCCTCGCTAGACAAGCAGTGGGAAAGCAGTGGGCCCCGGGATCCGCTACTGTGAAGCGCTCTGAGACGCCGTCTGGGGTGGAGGGCGCTATATAAATCCAAGTTGATGTTGTTGTTGTTGAAAGCTGGCCAGTGCTCTCAATGGCAAGCTGTGTGGGTTTAGCTGGTTAGACTCCAGCAGTTACCCCAACACACACTCTGGGCTCCCCCAAGCCTTGGCTCTCGCCAACCTGCGCCTAATACTCTCCGGAATTAAGTAACCAGGATGAGTCCCTCCAGGATTTCCATGTGTAGGTGGGATGCATGGAATTCTCAGTTTGGTTTGGAGACTCTTAAGCAGGTGAGTGTTTCCACATAGGTGCTGGTTGCCCTCTGAAACTGCATAATCCCACTGCCAGTCCCTCGCACAACCACTATCTATCCACTTCAATCTGGACAATGTGAATGGATTCAGCCATAATCCACAGCCTTTTGGGGGAGAGAGTCAGATTTCCACTTCTCTTTCGGTGAAAACCTGTCTCCTGATTTCACTGCTAAGTGGCCCGGCTCTAATTTTAAGATGATGCCCCCTTGTTCTGGATTTCCCACCAGAGGAAACAGTTTCTCTGTAGCTACTCCATCGAATCCCTTTATTATTATTATTTTTGAATTTTTTTTTATAAACACACAGTGACTTGAATGAATTGTTACATACCCGAGCATAGTAAGTGCTTTTGACAGATGGGGTATCCTGGCAAGGGAGTAAGCTTCTGCTATGGATAGCCTTTAAGGATAATAAAAGAACATGGGTTTCGTCACCAAACGCTCATTCACATCGGTTCATTTACAGCGTTTATATTCACAATTCTGAAAACACTAAATGCATGAAATGCAATGATTCAAATAATACCGTAACATTTAATAATTTAAAATAAGACTTAAAGTTAATGCCAGTCATTTAATATTATGTAATCAGTTACCCTAGCTCAATTGGTATTATCTTATAAATAATAATCCTTGCATTTGATACAGCGCCTTATCATGTTTTCGAGACATCTCAAAGCGCATCACAAAACATACTGTGTATTTTGTATATCTATATATTTTGTGGGCACAAGATGTTTTATCATTAGTCAAATAGTTGCTACAACTGTCTCCAATTAACTGTGTTTCCAGCAAAGCTAGTCACAGAGTTCAAGAGCAGCGCTGTGAAGAGTGAAGGGCACACAGAGACCTAGGAAAGCTTGCTGCAACTGCTTATTACACAATGTCATAAGATAATGGCACCTGGAGCCTTTCGTGGCTTCTGTGAATATATTCAGCAATAAAGGCTTATCCACTGAGCACTGCCCCGTCCAGAAAACTTTGTACTTTCATCAGGAACTCAAATTGTTGCTGGAGGTTTAAATCAGATATTAATCTCATACAAATGGCATGTTAAATAGTAGTTTGGAGACCAGATTACGTAGTTTATAACTGAATATAAAACAGTAAGGTGGAAGCCTGTTAATAAAATGCATGTTTAACCCACACCATACCTGGCCCTGACTAAACAGGTAGGGGTGCTTCTTCCCAGCCGTTTGCTCAGCATTGAGCCACTGCAGTCCTGAGGCGGCCGGTGATGTCTCGTATGAAATCTCCACCACTAACTGCTGGCCTCTGTGGGTTCAGAGTTTATTTACACAAAGTCAGTGACAATTATCAACAACAAATGACATTTACACAGCGCCTTTCACATTGGGAGGACGTCCTAAACCACTGGACAGTCAGGGATTTGGACCCAAGCTGGGGGTTAGATCAGAAGGGGTGTAGAGCAGAGAGGGTAGGGGTAGGAGGGTGTGATTAAAAAGCAAGGATGATTGTGAATAGTCCATACCTTGACAGCTTAAATGGAAGAACAATGTTTAAGGGTGTTCCTTTAAAAGATTGATTCTCTCCAAGTGAGAACTGGACCTTCTGTCCATTGGCAACGACATTGTGTATTTTAAGATCCCTCGTATCCAAGATCTGTACAAAAATGCACACAGGATAATTCAGTGAAAACAATTGCAGCTTCAAACACCATTAGGTTTAACAATGAATCAGCCCCAACACTAGTCTAGTGGACTAGGCAGCAACTTCATACCATTTCTCCCACAAACTATAGTCAATTCACTTTACAGTATATACTGTGAAGCACTTTGGGACGTCTTAATGACGCGATAAGGAGATATATCAAATGCAAGGGATATTATTGTTATTATTTCAAAAGAAAGTCACAAGTTTTATTTGAATTCATCAGCTTCTAAAACCTTGGACAAGTTTCCTTCATCCACACGTGCCTCTAGCAGTAAGTAGGAGCAATCTCCCTGCTTTCCCCCCCTGTCCTCACCCTCCCTGATCCTGACCACCCCACCAGCTTGGGTCCAAAACTCTGTCCGTCCAGTGTCTCAGGACGTCCTCCCGACTTGAAAGGCACCACACACATGTAATTTTATTGTTGTTGTTGTAGGAAACCGCTTGTTAGTCGATTGGCGGATCGCTTTTCCTGGGGTAATAATCCCTCCAAAAAATAAATGATAATCTGGTCACTCAGACCATGACTGTTTGTGGGACGCTGCTGTGCACAATTGGCTGCCGAGTTTCGCCCACAAAATATAGTCAATCCACTTTACAGTATATTGTAATATTGTGTGAAACGCTTTGAGATGTTTCAACAAACTTGATAAGGCACTATATCAAATGCTATATTGACTGGACATTTGAGACCTTTTAGATATATTGTCAACGTGTTCCCTGTACTTTGCTTCTGATAAGCACGGTACAGCAATTATCTTCCTGGAATGTGCTGAGTTCACATTTTTTAATCACACTTTAGGGAGAAATTATCACTGCTGAAAGCACACAGGCTGTTCATAAATGGTGTACTGTAGCTGTTTGGTTTGCGTATTTCTAAAAATGAATCTGTAGTTCAAATTCTCTACGAGCAGTATTCCCCCCTTTTGCATGGTTTAAAAATGCACTTTCATAATCAGTCACTGTTAACCCACCCATTTCCCTAAATATATTAATAATAATCCTTGTATTTGATACAGCGCCTTATCACCTGATCGAGACGTTTCAAAGCACTTCACAGGATATACTGTGAAGTGAATTGATTGTATTTTGCAGGAATGCTTATGGGACGCTGCTGTGCGCAATTGGCGGCCACGTTTCGCCCACAAAATATACAGTCACTGCACTTTACAGTGTATCCTGTGAAGCGCTTTGAGATGTCTCGAAGACGTGATAAGGCGCTGTATCGAATGCCAGAATTATTATTATTATAAATCATATTAAATATTATGGTCCCAACTGAGAATTATGAGGTTTACACACACACTGTAATACCCACAACACTGTAATACCTACACAGTGACACACACACACAGTGACACACACCCAGTGACACACACACAGTGACACACACACACACACACACACACACACACAGTAGACACACACACAGTGACACCACACACAGTGACACACACAGTGACACACACAGTGACACACACAGTGACACACACAGTGACACACACAGTGACACACAGTGACACACACACACAGTGACACACACACACAGTGACACACCACACACAGTGACACACACACACAGTGACACACACAGTGACACACACACAGTGACACACACACAGTGACACACACAGTGACACACACAGTGACACACACAGTGACACACACACACACACACACAGTGACACACACAGTGACACACACACAGTGACACACACAGTGACACACACAGTGACACAGACACAGCTCACCAGTGAGGACAGCTCGTCTGTCAGGGCCTCGATGGTGAGGGCGGCCTGGCCGGTGATGACCCTCCTGGGGAAGTCCACGCTGAGCTGCAGCACCAGGTGCCGCGTGTGGCAATGTTCCGGGGCCGCCAGAGAGCTGCCGTCCCGCCGCCGCTCCTCCATCACCCGCACCGCCAACCGTCACCGCACTCACTGCGCCTGCGCGCTCCCTCTCCCGCCGTCACTCGCTCACTGCGCCTGCGCACTCTCGCCAGCCACGCTCGGTATCCACTGCGCCTGCGCACTCCTCTGTTTCCCCACCCCCCGCCTCTCTCCAGCCTTGGCACCCACGCACTGCGCGCTTGGCCTCCTGGGAATTGACGTCGGTCCCTGCGCCACCCACGTGACCAGCCCAGAACTACATCTCCCACGAGGCAGTGCGGCCCTGCCTCCCAGAGCCAGACAGCCAGGCTGGCAATGCTGGGGCTCACAACAACAACAACAACAACAACAATAACAACAACAACAACAAAAACAATAATAATAATAATATAAACCTAAATGCCACAGGGGGGCAGGACACAGGCTGCAAACCTTTAAGATCTCCCAACAGAATTTATATTTGTAGCATTTTATCACAGATATTTTATACAATATATTGTATTTATTTATATATATATTTGTGGGGGTGACTCCAGAAGGATATATTTTATATATCTAAACACGTCCAAGCGCTCGGAGACGCTACTCTGCGTGGAGGGCAGTTTGCTATATAAATGTCAGCTGTTGTTGTTATCTATATGTGTGTGAATTATATATCATTTTGAAAATATATAATAATAATAATAATCCTCGCATTTGATATAGCACTTTTCACGTCGGGAGGACGTCCCAAAGCGCTTCACGAACACACTGTAAAGTGAATTGACTGTATATTTGTGGGCAAACGCGGCAGCCAATTGCGCACAGCAATGTCCCACAAACAGTCGTAGATTGAAAATGACCAATTTGTTATTGTTTTTGGTTTTGGAGGGATTATTATTAGGCTCTGTGTGGAGTAAGGAAACTTGCCCAAGGTTTCGCCCTCTGCCTGGAATTGAACTCAGGTCTCTCACTTGCAAAGCGAGTGCTCTAACCACTGAGCTACAGGACTCCAATAATCCTTGCATTTGATACAGCGCCCAAACAGTCACCGAGACGTCTCAAAGCGCTTCACAGCATATACTGTAAAGTGTAGTGACTGTGTGTTTTGTGGGCGAAACGCAGCAGCCAATTGCGCACAGCGACGTCCCCACAAACAGTCGTGGATTGAGTGACCAAATTGTTATTGTTATTAGCCCCCGGAAAATATTTCACCAATTGACTAACAACCGGGTTACTGTTCCTATCAGCTACCAGAGGCTGTGTGTGGAGTAAGGAAACTTGCCTAAGGTTTCGCCCTCACCTGCCCAGGAATCGAACCCAGGTCCTCTGGCTTGCGAGCCGAGTGCTCTAACCACTGAGCTACAGGACTGTTTGTGAGACTGTTTCTGGTGCTGCCACATTTGCCTACAAAAATAGTCACTACGCCTGAGAGTAATGAGCTGCGAAGTTCTTTGAGGTATTTAAACATGAGAAAGCACCATAAAAACACAAGCTCCTTTTTCTTTATTTTCACACGACAACAGCCCAGAACATTGCCTGTTCTCTGCCATCTTGTGGTCGCCGATAGCTCCGCAAAAAATCTCACAGAAATTTTATTCCTACAGGAACAAATCACAGAGGGTGATCTTTCTCCAGGGAATTACTTGTGTTCTGTTTCAACGTTTCCTTAGTTTAAAACCTTAGGCAAGTTTCCTTACCCCACGCGCCGATGTTTACCAGCAGGAACCTGGTTATTAGTCGATTTTGGATCACTTTTCCGGGGGTAATAATCCCTCCCCCAAAAAACCCTAATTTGGTCACTCAATCCACGACTGTTTGTGGGACATGACAAGGTGCTATATCAAATACAAGGATTATAATTATTATTAATATCCTCCCTCGTGCTCTGAGTTAGGGGTCTGACTCAAGAGGAAAAACATATCAATTCAGTAACGTTCGCAAAACAAAAACCTTTAGGTCATCAACAAATTTTACATGAGAAAGAACTACATATAACATGAACCGCCCTCTTTCATACCACTTATGAACCAGATGTGACAAGTCACTTTTTCCGATCATTTATTCCAACTTCCATTTGAACTGCTAAATTGTGTTCAATTAATATGCTATTAATTCAATTAATAATAATAATAATCCTTGATATGGCGCTTTTCACGTCTTCAAGAGTCTCAAAGCGTAAAATGAATTGACTGTATATTTTGTGGAGCGACCACGGCAGCCAATTGCACACAGCAGCGTCCCACAAACAGCTGTGGTTTGAAGTAACCAATTTTTTTAATTATTGTTTTGCTTTCTGGAGGGATTATTATCAGGCGTGTCAAATTTGTGCAAGGTTTCGCCCAGCCGGGAATCGAACCCAGATCTCTCACTTGTGAGGCGAGTGCTCTAACCACTGAGCTACAGGACTCCACAATTAACCTTAATCTTTATAAACCTTGTATAGACTTAAAAAGTGCCTGCAGAAAATCTAAGTAAATTATATTCAATGAAAGGATTTTGTCAACTAGGTTTGTAAGGCATGACCCATTTATATGTAAATCCATGGTAACTGCGCTCTTTAGCATTCCATAAAATGCTTTCAACATTCTCTGCACTAATGACATTAGATTAATGTCTATTGTAGCTCAGTGGTTAGAGCACTCGCCTCACAAGTGAGAGGACCTGGGTTTGATTCCCGGGCAGGACAAAACATTAGGCAAGTTTCCTTACCCCACACACACGCCTCTGTTTACTGAGCAGTAAGTAGGAACCCGGTTGTTAGACCATTGCAGATTGGTTTTCTATGGGTAATAATCCCTTAAAAGCATTAAATAATTTTTTTAATACTAATTTGGTCACTCAATCCATGACAGTTTGTTTGGTCACTGCTGTGTGAAATTAGTTTCTCGTTTCGCCCACTAAAATACACACTCAATACACTTTTTGCAGTGTATGCTGTGAAACACTTTACCTTCAATATTCTCCACATTGATAATGTTAGATTAATGCCCTGTAAGTATTGGATTCAATCTCATTCTTTTTTTGAATAATGGGAGAATAATTTGCATTCTCCAGTCCTCAAGTACAGCTCCAGTATTTATAGATTGCTTAAAGAATATTTACTGGAGCCTCACCCATTTCCTCTCTCATTTCCTTGATGGATGTGGGATGCAGGAAGTCAAATGGTCAAGTTACCTTGTATACATGAAACTCTTTGAGTCTCTCCAAAATATGTTTCATTGACATCTACATTTGTTACAGATTCCTAAACTAAAATAACTGGATAGTATAGAACCTCTGATAGCTCAATTCGTAACATTTCTGCCATGTCAAGCCCAGGCATGTAACGCACCGAGGTCTGAGGTGTCAGCTCCAATCTGTGCTGTAAATCCATGGATTTCAACTGACCAGAAATATGGTCCCTACATTTGGCCATTAGAACTGTTGGGCTGGGAAAGGAAAATCAGTCAGGTTTTCCACTCTCAATTGTTATCCGGTGAATAATCCTGTTTATACACGCATTGAGCATTCAATTTAATTTCTTTACAAAAATGCTACAGTTCTATGCTTTTCCTATGATAATAATCCTTGCAATCCTCAAAGCGCTTCACAGGATATACTGTAAAGTGAATTGACGGTATATTTTGTGGATGAAACACGGCGGCCAATTGCGCACTGCAGCGTCCCACAAACAGCCGGGGATTGAGTAACCAACATTTTTAAAATTTATTTTGAAGGGAATATTACCCCCGGAAAAGTGATCTGCAATTGGCTGTCACATTTCACTCATAAAATACACAGTCAATCCACTTTCCATTTTTTCCACATTAGAGTCGTCTCAACAACGTGATAATGATAATAATAATCATTGCATTTGATATAGTGCCTTCCCATGTGTTGGACTTCAACTCAAGTGAGAACTAGCAATGAGGAGTTTCTGATTCAGTGTCGGGGAGAACACAAGAGATGACTTTCTCATTGACTTTGTTCTTGTCAGTCACCCAGACAGTAAACAGGGACTAGAGGCAGTTGAATTACGGGCTGATAGTGAACGGGCTACACAGAATATTCAATTTGATTCCCAATGTAACCCGCAGTGAACAGCTTGAGATAGGTGAGCGACAGAGGTATGGGGGTTGAGCATCAGGAGATAGGCTGCAAAACAGTGCTCAAGGAGACTTCAGACAAGAAGAAATGGACTTACAGTATTTCAAAATCATCAGATGGAGCAGGCAGGACACGTACATATACAAGAAGCAAATCAGCCCAAATTGCCGGATTTTTGAAGAATACCCTGTTAGGGCCGACTGGTCATTCTCCTTATTCCAGTTGCTCAATAGAGATCAAACCAGCTGACTGTGATTTATCTGTAAATATCGAAGAGAAAAGGGATTGCTTTGAAGATCATAACTGAAGGTACAGGAAAGTTATCTTACATTGTCTCATCACATTTTGTTTTGCCCAGCCGGGGGTCTGACACACGCGAAAACCCATCGCCATTGCTTAAGAATCTCCAAACCAAACTGAGAATTCCCCACATCCCAACTACACCTGGAAATCCCAGAGAGAGATTGTTGGAATGGGATGTGCTCACTCTCTCTGGAGGGACACATCCTGTTTACCTAATTCTGGAGAGTATTAGGCACAAGTTGGCAAGAGCCAAGGCTTGGGGGGAGGCCAGAGTGTGTGTTGGGGTAACTGCTGGAGTCTAACCAGCCAAACCCACATAGCTTGCTATTGATATCACTGTCCGACAAGGTTTCTGGGCAACCAGGACCACCCCTACCCTCATCACATCTTATTGTATTTATATAAGTGAGATGGGAATAAAGGGTGTGAGAGACATTAGCAGGAGCATAAACCAGCATGGATTTGTTGACCTGAATAATAAGTTAAAATAATAATCCTCCCATTTGACACAGCGCCTTATCACATTGTTGAGACATCTCAAAGCTCTTCACAGAATATACTGTAAAGTCTCGTGACTGTTTATTTTTTGGGCAAATCGGTCGGTTTCCATGCTGGAACATTCTATGTCAACAGNAAAAAATAGCTGGATACTGTAACAGGACGATGGTAAGTTTAGTTTTGTGTAAAGGTGAGAATAAATAAGATAAAGATCTTTCTTCATCACTAAC